GAGGATAGGGTGGGATCAGGAGGAAGGAGTAGGAGTATGGATGGGGGAGCAAGAGGATGACGAACAGGATGAGGAGGAGGAGGAAAAGGGTTAGGACAAGAGAAAGAGCGCGTTCTGTGGTCGCTTGGGCGGGGAGGGGTTGGAACCGGACCCCCCCCCCCTGGATGGAGGGGAGGGGGAGTTCGAGCCCCCCCCCCTTCCGTGGCGGCGGTGGCGGGCACGACGATTTTTTTGTCTGGGCCGGCGCCTGCGCCTGCGGCGGCGGGCGGCGGCGGCGGCGGGGAGCGTCGACGAGGACGACGGTGGTGGTGGTGGTTGTGGGTTGTGGTGGTGGTGGTGGCGGTGGTGGTTTGTTGTGGTGGTGGTGGTGTGGTGGTTTGTTGTGGTGGCGGTGGTTGTGGTGGTGGGTGGTGGTGGTGTGGTGGTGGTGGTTTGTGGTGGTGGTGGTGGCGGTGGTGGGTTGGTGGTGGTGGTGTGGTGGTGGTTTGTTGGTGGGTTGTGGTGGTGACGGTGGTTTGTGGTTGTGGTGCGGGTGTTGGTGGTGGTGGCGGTGGTGGTGGTGGTGTGGTGGTTTGTGGTGGTGGTGGTGGTGGTGGGTTGTGCTGCTGGTAGTGGTGGTGGTATTTGTGGCGGAGGTGTTGGTAGTGTGGTAGATTGGTAGATTGTGGTGGTGGTGGTAGTGGTGGTGGGTTTTTGTGGTGGTACTGGTGGTCATTGCGAGTTGTAGTGGTGGTGACTGTGGTGGTGGTGGTGACTGTGGTGGTGGTGGTGGTGGTTGTGTGGTGGGTTGGTGGTGGTTGTGGGTTGTGGCGGTGGTGGTGGTGGTAGTGGTGGTGGTAGTTGTGGTCATCGTCGCTGCGTCCCCGCCGTCGCCGGCGCCAGCGCCGGCGCTGCTGGGCGCCGCCAGCGCCGGCGCTGGCGCCAGTGGTGGCGGGGGAGGTTTTTGACCCCCCCCCCGGGGCTGCCCCTGGTCATCGTCGCTGCGCCCCCGCCGTCGGCGCTGCTGGCACCAGCGCCGGCGCCGGCGCCGAGGGGGGGGGGGAGGTTTTGACCCCCCCCCTTGGAGGGAGGGGTTCGGGAGGGAAGGGGTTGGGGGGGAGGGGGGCCCACCCCCCGGATCGAAACGCGCCGCCGAATGTTCTCAAGGCAAGCGCCTGTGAAACGCGTTTTGTCGGACAAGAGGAAGCTCAGGATGCGTCAGCGATGCTTCATCCCAAGATGCTTCCCAGGATGCTTCAACGCACTATCCCGCTTTAAGATCGTTCGCTACGGGAAATAGCCCCTTCAACAACGAGCGCTCCATGGGCTTGCCATCACGGCGCGAACCCGGCTCGGGGATGGAACTCCCGTACTTTTCTATGTCAAGCGGTGGAGTTCGTACGTCCACCTAGAAAGAATGCGATTACGTAGTTAATACCATGTTTGGTAAAGGTCACGTTTTGATAATGATCCATTTGTTGTCCTGTGCAACCGTTCAGGGCAACCATTTTACGTGTTGGGCCTGAGTGTTCGTTTGTACCTCAAGCGAGAGCCACATGTCTCAAAGGAAACACCATCTATCTTTGCAAACGGTGCACAATATTAACACATTTGGCCATCTGCCCCAAGAGGTCTCAAGCGACAGCTCCGTTTCGAGAAAGAACCGCCCTCAATCCATGTAGGTGTGGGAATATTTTTGGCGAATGTGCGCAACACTGAAGCGAGGGCCGCATTTTGAAAACGCACCGCCCCCCTATCCCTGTAGCTGATGGAAGCGCACAGGATGACAGCGCGCATTGCTAAGGCGAGAGTCGCAGCTGGAAGCCAGCTCCCCCTTTCCACCCTTCTAAGCGCAAGGAGCTTTGAGTCAGTGTGTGTACGTCACTAGAGGACAAGAACCACATCTTGAAAGCGGGTCGCCATACATTCATGTATAGTGTGGTCATGTTGAGCTTCGGGGACATCATCTGATGTTGCTACAGGGAGGAGTGATGTTGCGTCAAGGAGGAGTGGTGTACAAGTCGGCCTCGCACCCAGGGGAAAGTGACAGGGGGCAGGCCTTCTCGGAAGGCGGCAGGGCTTCTCAGGAGCGCCCCGGCCTTTTGAGAAGCCCGTCTGTCTTCGGACAAGGCTCGGACAAGGCTCGGACAAGGCTCGGAGGCTTTTCCGAGCCTTCTGAGAACGCCGGGCCCTTTTGACTTCCCCCTTGGGCTCGCCTCCGAGTAAGGAGGAGGGCAGAGTCAGGAGAGGAAGAGACACGCAGACACAAATTATCGCGATTCCCAGGGAAGCGGAGGAACATATCGGAAGTGGGCGGGGAAACGAAACTCCAGAAAATATTGAAAAACATGGTGAATCCTGGGATTTGTGTTCATTCATTTGTGTATGCCTGGGCCCCTTCATTGAGGACCACGAGGAGGGGGGGTGGTCTGAGCGCGAGGAGGGGGGGCAGGCAGCCCTGTCCGCCGAGCGGAAGAAGCAGGTCCGCGAGCTCCAGGAGGGGCTGGCCGCGCTTGCCAAGGAGCCCCCCCCCAGCCTCCCCCGTGCCTCCTCCTCCTCAGGATTGAACTTCGGGTAGGGATGTTTATTACATGCGTAGAAATATACACATGTGTATATATAAGTGTGTGTAAATGCATATCGGTGATTTACATATGTAGGTGTATATGTATGAAGGTGACTTCCCTGTTGGGATATATGTACATACATGTATCACATTGCTCCACGCTAGCACATGTGTACATGTAGGTAGGTAGGTTGGTAGGTAGGTAGGTAGGTAGGTAGGTAAGTAGGTAGGTAGGTAGTTAGGTAGGTAGGTGTATGTATCTATGAATGTGTGTCTGCATGTAAATATGCGCATGTATGCATGCATGTTTGTATGTATGTATGTATGTATGCATGGTTGCATGCATGCATGTGTATATGTATGCATGCATGCATGCATGCATGCATGTATGCGTGTATGAGGAATGTGTGTATGTTTGTGTGCATGTATGCATATAGGTATGTAATGTATATGTGCACTCATGTCTGTAGATAGGTGGGTAGGTACGTATGTCGGTATATGTGTGCGTGTGTATGCCTGTAGGTATGTAGGTATATATGCGTGTAGGCCTGCATATATATATATATGTGTATATATATATGTACGTATATATGTTATGTATATATATACATAGGTGTGTGTGTGTGTTTCCTCCCCGTCGGGGCATCCTGGAAGCTCCCCGTTGCTAGGGTTTGATTCCCCAATCGACGTTATTGTCAGAACGTTCCCGTGAAGACGCCTGGGGGTAGGATTTAAACGTCGTGTCTGTCGTTGTCGTCGTCGGCGTTTCCTCTTTGAGGGCTTGGCCCCAACGCGCAGGCTTCGCCATCAGTCAGAGTCAGAGTCAGGGGGCCGAACGGTCATTCACTGTCCCTGGGCGCGTGGTGGAAGTGACGTTCTGCGGTGCGGATTGTTGCTTAACTTGCACTACAGAAGGATAATCATTGTTGATCCCCTCCCGGGGCACATTGTGTGTTTTCAATTGATGTGCATTTCCCAGGAAAGTCTTGGGTCTCAGAATTGTGTTGTTGGCCCTGGCTTACAGCAACAGCGGCTCCCGCCTGATAGTTCCTCACAATGTATTCCCAAAATCGCGCTCTCGCGCGGGACTTCCTCACAAGTTATACAGAGATCTCGCTCTCGCGTTGGACGCCCTCGCAATTTATTCAGACGCCGCGTCCTCGACACTTAGAGGTCACGCTCTCGCTGTGAACTTCCAAACGATTTCTTTGGGAACCGCGCTGTCGCTCGAGACTTCCTCGCGATTCATGCAGGACGTACGCTTCAGCCACCCGCCTGCTCGACCTGGCCGCCTGGGCCCTCCTTCCCGACCCGCCTGTTAGGGTCTACCCGCCCGATCTGCCCGTCTGGTTCTACCATGTGGTTTCTGCTCCTAGCTCCCCTCCTGCTACCCTGCTACCCTCTCGTGCTCCAGTCTCCTCCCTACCCCTTGTCCCTTCCTTCCATCCGTCCTCTCTTCCTCTGCCTTAGGGGCTGCACGGAATACGCGTTGCAGGCAAGAAGGATACACCCTCAAGGGAGTTACGGTCGAAGACGAAGAGGGCGGGCATCGAGGGCTTGGATTATACATGAGGAGTGGCGCGCGAGCAGATCAGAGCGAACAGTTTTGCTATGATTGTTGATGGTGTATTTGAACCTTATTACGACACAGTTGTTATTGGTGGATGCCCTGAATGCGCTTTCGCGCTCTCGCCCAGGCGCTGGCTGCATTTCCGTTAATAGAAATTTGGTTCAAGCTCAGGCGCTTCAGGGTTCCGCCAACACCGGCCCCCCAACAACCAACGCTCCGGCTCGATACATTCTCCTCGGGGCCGGGGCTCTTGATCCCCCCCCAAAGCAGCCTATCCAACGAAGTCGGCGCTCCCGCTCGATATTTGTCCCCGCTTGTCACTTCAGGACTGGCGATCCCCACCTGAGGACCCCCTGCAAATAACGACGTTCCAGCTCGATACTTCCTCCGCTTTTGCTCAAGACTCCAAGGAGGCTCTAAGACTTCATTAGACCCTGTTGAACCTTACTCATCAAACAACTGTTACTGTTGGGCGCCCCGAGTGCGCCGTCGCGCTCTCGCGCCTTCTCCGCGCGACCTCGCTCTCCCTCGTGTCCCGGGGTTCGGCGTCAGCTGTTATTGTTGGACACCCCGAGTGCGATTTCGCGCTCTCGCGCCTGCTCCGCGCGACCTCGCTCTCGCTCGCGTCCTGGGGCGTGGCGTCTGCGCCGTCGTCGTCGCCGCCGCCGCCGCTGCTGTCGCCGTCGTCGTCGTCGTCGTCGTCGTGCTCCTGGAGGCCGCCGGGGGCTTCCTGGAACTCCTGAGGGCACCCGGGGCCAGATACATGTTGTTTTGGAGGAGGAGTGCAGGAAGGAGGGGGGGAGGGGGAGGGGGAGGAGGATGACGAGGAGAAGGAGGACGAGGAGGAGGAGAAGGTCGATGACGACGACGACGACGACGGCGACG